TAAATATAAAATATTAGCTTCAGCCAATCATTAGTTTCCGAGCTATTGATAAAAAAAACTTTCAGTGCTGAAAAACGTTACTAATACATTGAGTGCTGCCTGTACAGATGTTACTAATCAACCGTTTTCGCTGCAGTGATCGTTGCCGTCAAGTGTCGAGTATAGGCTCGGTGTCTATAGGGTGACAAAAACGACTAATTGAACGAAGCAGCCACTGAATGCGTGGACTTTAATCTAACCTAATCTAATCATGTATGTAATCATCTCCGCCTAGGGTCTAATACCGCCGAATATCTAGGCGGTGGGCAATATCAGAACAGTCGTCGCTTCGTTGAAATTTTACGTGGGACACACAGTAGATATCGAGGCTGCTACCGCTATTGTGCCATCGGCTATTCGTCACTTGATGGCAACAACCACTACAGCGGAGACGGTTGTATTCATAACGTCTGTATAGACAGCATTAAATGCATTAGTCACGTCTGTATACAAAGTTTCAATGTATAGTACCGAAGGTTTTTGCTAATATCTCGAAAACTAATGATTGGCTGAAGCTAATATTTTATGTTTGGGGTCCACCCACCCTCCTCTTCCTCCCCACCAAATTTCGCGTCGATCAGCGACCAGGGCCTTTCGGAACTACACCCAGAATTTTCGGTCTTATAAATTAAAATTAATTTTTGTTACTAATACAACTGCTTTTGTCGCACTTTGAACAGAATCTGTGTCAGGAGTGAGATTAGTTGTTACAAGTAAAAGAGTTAATATTGTATTATACCATATTTGTGTTTTGTTATATTGTAGTATGAAGCGAGCAAACTTTTACACATTCCATGTTTCCGCATATTCACGTGAGCAGCCAGGAACACGCAGCCTTGGTTGGCATTCTCTACCCCTTGATCCGTTGATCCCTTCCGCGTCAGTTGTGTAGCGACGACACGCGCCAAAGACTCCCCCTCAGTCCCTCCACTTCTCAAACAAATCACCAAATCCCTTTTCAATGTACACACATCACCAATCCATCCACGATCAGCGTGCAATTAAGTAATACGACCACAGCCCGTCCCTAATCGAATCAACCTACAAAAAACGATTCTCTGCATTCTAAGCGACTTTAAGGGATCTCTGAAGCATAGAATGAAAGGGTAACTTCAAGAACTTTTCCGAAGGAACTTGAAACTTTGAAAATGTAGTTTTCATACTTCGAAGAAGGTGTACGAAAAGAAATTGTGACAAATATAAGTAACTCTATGAGTTATTACGTCCTCGGAGAGCTTATGTAAAAACGGGGCAAATCTCTACGTTTACTGTATTACAGGAACCGTGAAGTTTTCAGATTTCGATGTTAACATCCACAGGGTATATTCTCCAGAAAATGGAAAAAAGCAGAAAGTCAATTTTTTGACCATTCTCAGAGGTTGAAAGGCACCTTAATAATCTGAAGGAGAAAACAGCTGATTGGAAGACGTTAGAGTAGCGCGTTTAAATATTTATCTAGTCAGAGGGGATATCTTATTGAATCCGTGCCCTGGCGAATCAGGCCAACCACATCGCTATGATTCCACTACATCCCATAGAAAATAGGGGGAAGAAAGAATTTCACAGCGGCTTCTCTGATGTTCTCTGAATTTTTATGCCTCATCCGTTGGTCGGGGGTTGGCGCGATTTAGCGAAACGACGACGGAGCAAAAGAGGGTGGCGGTGACGGCGGCGGGTCTTTGATGAAGCTTGGGAAATATGCAAACGCGTGCAGCAACGTCCCCCGGAGCATCAGCTGTGTGAATTACGACCCGGGCACATATTATTGTCCCCGGTTCCGGAGCGAAAACTCATCCGGTGCACTCGTACAAAGGTCTAAAAGGGTCGACGAAAAAATATTGCGTCGTGCGCATGACGAGTGTGCTCGATCCACAGGACCAGGGAATCGCGTTCTACATAAATGCTGTCTGATTTCACGTCTCACCTTTGCGTAACCGTTTAATTAGCAAATGAAGGGTACAGGGAAAAGAGAATTAGGTGCCCGTTTAATGTTACTTTCAGGGAAATTTCAGATATTATTCAATTAATCAACACTTGAAAAATGCATCAACATAGCACAAGGACACTTTACAAACGCACACTGTCATCCCTTTTCCACAGAAACACTAATATCCTCACTTTTTTCCATGCTATTTTTTAAATGGTGATAATTTGCAATTGTCACCTTTTTCCCGTTTCTACAGTCAAATCTGAATTTCACAATAAAATATACATCTCTATGTATTCCAATATCATAATAAGTAAAAAATGGACCCGCATCCTTTTTTCCTTTGACACTGTAAATTATCAATCTTTCGAATACTGACTCGTAGTTAGCACAATAGCTCTTTCAACGTGCGTACAATGTGCAATAAAGTAAACAAAAGTATTATCGTTACTGCTGCTGTAATTCGACGAGGTATTTTTATTTTGGGTGTTTCTCTTTTTACGTTCGATCGAGGCCATCGTGTTTGTGTTAATTGCTAGTGACGAAGAGGGGCAATTGGATTGCCGTGGTTGATGTTGAGCAGAGGTGAAACCTGGGGTGAAATGATATTATTCTGGAGGGTTGAGGGTCGTTGAAGATGCTCGATGGGTTTGAGGATCAATTTGTCGGGTGATAATTAAGTGCTGGAGTAGGTATTGTGTGTTTGGAATTAATTGCCTGTTCAAGGTTACTTACTTATTGCTACTGTACATAGGATTCTTCAAAAATTCGATATCACGAGTCATTATACAGGGTGTTTTGAACCATGTGGGCATAACTTCGAGGATAGATTCAGTACGCTAAAATGGCTCTATTGACTGGTTCTTTTAATTGTTTACAAGTAACGCTTCCTATTTCACGCACGACCCCTTCTGGTCTGCCATGCAAACACGATTTTATAATTTGTTTCAATCGGTTTAATACATGTTCTTGGTGGTAACAGCACGTAATACATCTCATAATAATTTGAAGTGATCATCTAATACATTTCATAACAATTTGAGTGGCCACTTTGAATAATTTCTATGAAAATTATTAAATAACAGGTATCACACAAAAAGTGCTATAATTCCCTTTATCCCTTATTTCAGCGTACTGAATCCATCCCTCAAGTTATGCCCACATGTTTTGAAACACCCTGTATATTAATCAGCTTGGAAAAGGTAGTAAACGGGTAAGTATACGTAGAGGGTAAGTCAAAAAACACATAATTTAGGAGACAAGAGAAAAGTTGCCCTGTTTGAAGGGATAAGTATGGAAAAGAAACTGATTTCTTTTTTCATTTTTCTAAATATAAATATTTTTGACTTGAAAAATCCAAAGAAGTAGAAACACTATTTCTTTTCTCGTCAAACTGGTTACTTTTTTCAGCAGAAAAAGAAACTTAAATAATCCCTATCGCGACATTCGGAAATTCTCAATTTTCTGACACCCGAAAGACTGTTTCATTGGCGTCGTACGATAGTTCGAAGGGGTATCAAATAGGCGGCAATTTGAACGAATGGAATGACCAATTAAAAATTTCCAGGTGGTGCCGGAGCCTATTAAAAATAATTAAACGGTAAATCGAGCGGTCGTTATGTGCTCGAAACCGACGAGTCGCGGTTTGGAAATCGCGCGCCGACCCTTTCATTCGACCCGGCTGTAACGCTGTAGCGCGTGGTCCACTTTATTTTGAAGTGTTCACAACTAGCTCGTTGTGATAACGCCACTTCCGTTTCGTACCGCGTGAATTCAACCGTATGATGCCTATTTATTCCAGAAGAACTGGCGGATAGCGGTCACGCAGCTATTAACGGAACCGTGCGGTTTCAGGCGTGCACGCGTACAATTGTCTCGTTTGCGCGCGTAACAAGATCGTCGTAAGATTGATGTAGCTCTCTGGTATAAGGGAACTTTATTGAAATGAATAATTAGCTGTAGAATTCGATCGATTATGCAATATGGAGTATGGTCGTGCTGTCAAGTCAACTTAAATCAATTTAAATTAAATTAGGCTAAATTAAGTTAAGTTAATTTTGACTTGTGTAACGTTGAATCGCGACACTTTAAGCAACATCGAAAATGCGTAAATTAGGCAAGCATGATTCGGACGTGTCTAAAACAAGAATAACCAGTTAAACGAAGTAGCAAAAAAAGAAATTCTGAAGTCACACAGAATTTTCTATCAAAGCTCAGCGATGAATTGGATTATTCTCCTTCTCTTCGAGTATTATTGGCCGGGTATACACCAGGCGAACTTCCAGACCTTCACGGCTAAAAGTAGGCTGCAAAGTTCCAGGCGGTAAACAAAGAGACGAAGTCACACGGAATTTTCGAGGAAGGATCAAAAAACGTGGCGAACAATGTCGAAGGTGGCGTTGGCGCGAAGAATACAAAAGAGACAAGAGGTAGTGCAAACGGACCGTGTACAAAGCAAAGAATCGAACGAATGGAATTGTTCAGCTAAACACTTGTGTTCCCTGTAAATGTGTTTCTTCAAACAGATACATACGTACACACGAAGCTACCTTGCACGTCCTTTACCTACCCTTTAAAGACGATTAAACGCGTAACATCCCATGAATGATTAAAACGGTTCTTATGTAGAAGAAGCTCACCTTCGTACACCCAGTCTGGAACTCCGTTATAAATGGTCCCGAAGACCCCGGTGTCCGTGATTTGATACTCGACGGCCACTTCCGCCTCCGGCCTGTAATAAATGTTGTTCTGGTGGACGTAGACCAGCGCATTGCCGCGCGGCGCCCAACTGGCCAGTTGCAAAGATATCGAATCATTCGCCGTCAGTGACGCCTCTGCCCTGGAAAAATGTATTTGAACATGTTTGAATTGACGAAGATTTTCATACAGGACGATGAAATCTCAAGTGTAAATTAACATCCTGTCTACTAATGCTACTATTAAAACATATTTTTCAAATTGCCACGTGAATCCTATCGTCTACGTTTCCTATGTACGTAACGTTTAATCGAACAGGGAAGGCAATAGAGATTCGTGAATTCTGGCATGGATTGACGGACTGTTACGTTCGGCTGAGACCTAATCGCGGGTTAAATCCCGGGCCTAATAATAGGCTTAGCTTAGGTTCAGTTTAAGCTGAACCGAGATTAGGACCGAATCAAATGTGGAATGGATCCAAAATACATCTACGTTAGGCTACCTCTGAATCAGATCCGGAACGTCAGTTTCCAGAATTCCAGCTCAATCCAGTCAATGTCTATCCTAATATTGAGGAAACCCTCCAATTAGCATTCACCTATGCAACTTATGTAGATCTGAAAAGATCTATATTGGACTTTGCTACCTTTAATCCGTGGTAGAACTAGAGTCTAATCTTAGTTTAATTGAGATGTAACGAAGCTCTAGCTTAAATTTAATTCAGTGCACTGGTGATTTATGTAAATCTACAATTGGTGAAAATCTGGAGGTACATATTGAACTTCTTTATCTCTAAATCCAGCTTCCATGTTAGATCTGAACTGTTAGCATAGTCTAGCCAGGATCTAGCGTAGCTATTGCCCAAACTCCAGTCACTGTACAGTCAATTTATATTCCCTTGTGTGCCTTACACAAATCTACAATTGTAGTGGATTTGGAAGACCTGTGTTATACTTCTTTGCCTTCAAATCCAGAGTTCCTCAGTGAGTCCCAAAGCGAAACGCATCTTTCTCTTTTTCTTTCCTCTTCTGCGATCTTCTCCCTTTCATGTTCCTTCTTCGTCGTAAGACAAATCTACAGTTGAAATCCAGTTTGCATATTATACCTAGTCTGGCGATCTACTTTTCTCAACCATTAACCAATCTCTATCCCAAATTCAGCTCACCTAACCGTACGAATCGTTCTCTACTGGACAACCACGAGAAACGACATTCTTTATCTACTCAAAACTAACGAGAAAGAACGCCAGCTACGTTTCAGACATTTCCCAAGCCGGGAGAACGATACTCGGAGCGAAGGAAGTAGATAGAGGGGATGGATGGGGAAAAACCGCGTCGTTTCGGGATTCCGTAACCTTCGCCGATGAAACGACGAGATATAAATGGACGAGGCTCGGTGGTTCGCGCAGTAACAAGCAGCCATTCGATCCGCTCTCCCGATCGGAATTGCCCGGAAGAAAGTGGCGGCGCGATACGAACAATAGAGGTCGCGGTACGCGTGCTCTCGATGCCACCCCGCGATTACCCGGCGCCATCGAATGCATACACGCGAGGGTCCTTATTTCACCGGCAGTAAAAGCGGCCAGGAGCGTAAACCAGAGAGCGCTATGTCCGCCGAGATTGCCGTGTTACAGGAAACGACCTCGGGAGTATAGCAAGAGGCCAGAACCAACCTAGAGTTCCCCATTTCCGGTTGCTTCCCTCTCTACTTCCCTTATTCTCTTTCCTCATTCAGTCACCCTCTTCGAACTCTCACTCTCGTTCTCTCTTCCCACTTCTTCTCATTCTCTTTCCCAACTCTCTTTTCCTCTCCTCACACTCTCATTCTCGTGCTCTCTGACATTCTCTCCCCTCGTTGACTCACTGTCTTTGAAATCTCATGCTCGTTCTCTCTCCTCTTTCATTTTCCTTCTGAACAAAAAAAAATTTACTCTCAATCACTCCTACTCCCTCTCTCATTTCCTCTCCTTAATCTCTCCTATTCCTTTTCTTCACCGACTTACTCTCTTCCAATCTCTCCTCGTTCACTCTCATTTTCTCCCTCTCCTTCTCTCGTTCTTTCGTCTCTCTCCCTCTCTCTCTCTCTCTTTCTCCACTAATATTTATTCGACTGGCTGGCCACTTATGGCTGTTTCTGTTTCGGCTACACTGGGGCTCGTTCGTCTAATTGAATGGGAGGAGTCACTTCAGCCTGGCTGTTCGCCGCGGAGGAATACATTTCCCAAAGAGATGTAGATAGACCCCCCACTGTATACTGCTCTGCCTCCTCTTTCCCCCCCTTTTTTTTATGGAGGAACGGTGTTTTACGATGAACGTCGTTCGGGGGATTCTCTCTCGAGTTCCCTTTACTCGGGAGATTCCTACGGTTTACGGGCACCTGACTGGCCCGCCGCTGGAATATTCGATGCGGGATTCCAGATCCTGCTTCCGGGATTATGGGAACTTGATTAAATTGCCGCATCGAGTTTTCTGAAGAAAGAGGCGACGTTAAGTATCGATAGGTCTTCCTCGGAGTAGTTGCTTTACGTTAGCTTTGTAGAAATATCTCCAAAAATTCTCTGTGGAGAACAAGCGTGGAGAACTTCATGGTAGTTATACAATTTAACAAACTGAGTTTGATAACTTATGCTGTTTCACACTGAGAGAATGACTTGGAAAAGGCATACAATTGGAGATTTATAATATAAAAGCCACGTTTCACGATGCACTAGAAGTTAGCCTAAATGGTTACCATATTTCTCGTCTTCGACGTCCAGATGGGCCAATCGAGTTGATCCAAAGGCTTCCATATTTATGAGAGCCAGTAAAGGTACTACTAGAATCGACTAATGGATTTTAAAGGTGACTATAGCAGCGCGTTAGCCTTGGTGAAGTGTATGTATGCGTGAATATACATACGCAGCTTGGCAAGCCTGAGAGGTTGAGTAATAAAGAAGCAGGTTACATTATTTCCCTTTTAGAATTGAATCCGCATGCCAAGCAGATATACGCGGCGTTGTTAAACTCGAGGCCGAAATTAAATGGTGGCTTAAGGAATTTAGTGCGCCGCGGCAGGAACTCGAAGGACCGTCCTTTGATCCGATTTTTATATTTCTTCATCGAGGGAAAAAATACTTGCGTGAAACACTTTCGAGGAATTAAAGAGAGGAGCTGACGATACTCGAATATTTTTTTCCACGATTTATTCCCTTTTACATTTTACATTTTAATAGAATATTTACATTTCACTATTCGCGTTTGGTGTCGAAATATTTGAAAATATTCCCTGATGTGTACATATTGATTTTTGTTCAGTAACTCGGGCTGAAAGTGCTTCCAATGTTAAATGGGCGAAATTACTTTCATCCAGAAAATTCAACATGAAAGAACTACTTTTATTCACAGTTGACGGTCTGCAAATAAACTAAATTCTTGTAGAATAAACGTGCAGACTTTTGTTTATGAATAGTAACGTAGGTTCCATTCAAGTGTAAAATAGAATCTGGATAACACTGTAACTTGTATTGTATAACATATTATGCTCCTGGTCGAAAAGAATCCTGCAAAACAGGCCGTTTTAAATCACCCAAAAAGCATAATCTCCTCGAAATACCTGATAAATGCTCGACCAACACCAATATTTCCAGCTAATCCCCATACAGAAGATGAGTTGCTGCATTAAACCACGAAAAACAGCTGCATTAAACCTGAAAATGAAACACCGCCACTAGCTAAGTCTTACACCTTCACGAATGTCCCAAAACAAAAACGAAGAAACAAAACTGGTATCGAAATAACTAATGGCAATCTAGCACCAGAAATTTAATTAAGAAACCTCAACGAGATAAAATTAATTGAAACATATACTTTCACCCCAGGAATGTCTCTCTAAAATGAAATAAAGTTTCACATAAAATCCAATCCAATCCAACTCCCACATCTCCGATAAAATTGAAAATAAAAGAACGCGGGAAATTCAATAGAAAAACAATTCGACTGCGTTAAAATTCCCCCTGAAAAACCTTGCATCAACACTCTTGCGAAGGATAATAGTTTCAACATAAGAGGCGGGATCGAGAAAACAGAAGCAAAATGGGAACTAAGACACGCGAGTATCTCGCGACCCGAGTATTTTATAGAATTTATAAAACGCAGCTTGGCCAACGGCTGGTTTGCTAGAGCACACACATATACATATAGAGGAAGGTAGAGAAAGAGGGAAATCGATGGAAAGTTTCGTGAGTCCTCGGAGCTGTCGCGATGCCAGAGAGCTCAAAGGGAAGCTGCTTCTTCTTCAGGGAGGGAGAGATAGAGAGAGAGAGAGGAGAGACAGAAGGCCATAAATAAAGACTCTGGTATTCGTGTAGCGTGGAAACCGGGTTTATGGTCGGGGATCTTCGTCTGCCACGGGAAGTGCACGCGTTCGATCAGCAAGTGGATTCGGCAAGTGGAAACCGGGCCACGTTCTCTTTAATTGATACGCGAGACGCAGACGCGACGACTGGCTGCTCCACTGAATTAACGTCGCGTGGTGCATTTGCAAGGATGTCGAGAGGGTTGTTAAAAGTTTGCGTGGAAAGACGCTAGAGGAGGTGCAGGCGAATCACGAGTTGTTCTGCATGATCTCGCGATTATAAAAAGTATTTATTTAGAATATTTGGTGGAAAGGAAGGTTGTTAAAAGTTTTCGTAGATAGATGGTCTCATGATTGAAGGTAAATATATGTAGGTGTTGGATTATAAAGAGAAATGAGTATGTGTCTGTGTAATAGTAACGGCAAAAATAATCAACATAATCACATCTGTTTAGTATGGGTGACGCTGATACGTTTTTTTTTTCTCTGCGTCTTGCCGATGTTTTGTTTGATTGATTGCATAGCGACGTGCCTTCCTCGCGTATCAAAATAAAGAAGATTCATAATTAAAATAATATCTTTTAATTTATTACCATAATTCTAACAGTAGGTATTAACGTTTTGAAGAAAAAACTATTTACTTAAAATATTACTTTGCAAATCTTTGACTGTAGCAGAGTAATAGAGAAATTACTTTTTATCTATCGGATGAACTTTTTGGAATTGTTATCGGGAGAAAGTGGTGTTGTGTCTAGGGGGGCTATAGAGAATGCTACCAAAGGAATTCCAAATTTCCTCTTCTATAGAAAC